CTTTTTTTCCTTCCTCTTTTTCAATTCTTTCTTTCTTTCTTTCGTCCTTCTTTTTTTAAAAAAAAACCAAACAAAAAAAAATGCCAAAATTTGAATGTTGAAAATAATTCCCCATTTTTTTTTAACCAGTCAATTTTATCTCATCTAACTGATGTCATTTTTTTTCTTGTCTCCCTTTTTTTAAAAATAAAAAAATTTTTCCGCAAATATCATTTATCCTATCGGCTGCCGCTATTTGATGGCTCATTTTTCTCATCTTACAAATATGAAAATATCATTTTTGATTTGTTTGTTATGTCTACATATTTGTTACACATATTTTGCTTTGGCATTATAAAACTTCAAACTAATAATTTTTTTTGTTCAAAATTTTGAAAGAATTTGAAAATCAAAAATCAGCAACATTTATTAATCATTTTACAGTCTACGATGAACTTTTCTTATTTTTTCTTAAAATTTATTGAATAATAAAAGATGTACTTTCTGTAAGAAAAATATTTTAGCATTTTGTTTTTGTTTGAAAAAAGGAAAAGAAAAGAAAAATATCTTTTTTCCAACCATTACTACTATCAACTAGAACTATCATTACTTTATTATTAATTGATGAAAATTAATCTTCATCCAATCCAATCGATACATTAAATTTTGCTACAATTCCATTTCAAAAAAAAAAAAAAAAACGAAGAAGAGGTATGACAAGAAAAATATATACATTTAATAGATTTTTACTTTTTTTCTTTATTCCTTCAATTTTTAAATTCATTAAAAACGAATATTATTATCATTTTAATGGGGAATATCTAATGTGTACAACTAAAATTAAATGCATAAAATAGAAATGTAAAAAAATTTCCCGTACAGGACGAACGAAATAACTTTTGCGTTTATTCAGATGCTTTTTTTTCAATAATTTACCTTTTTCTTTATTAAATGATAATTATCAGATGAAAAAGTAAGTTAAAAAATTTGAAAAAAAAAGTTACAATTTTTAACAATGCCACTGTGTTATAGTATCAATTATCAATATTATTAATAAACTTGTCAAATATTGATTAAATTTCATCCTACAAATTTTCTCCTTCTCAAATCAAGTATGTGAAAAAAGCAAGCATAAAAGCTTAGAAATTTGAGAAAAGATTTCAATAACAATAACTATGCCTTTTTCTCTCTCTTTTTTCTTTTCTCTTCTTTTCTTCCTTTTCCTCCCCCCCCCCTCTCCCCGCCTCTCTCTCACTTCTTTTTTCTCTATTGCATGATGATGGTAATAATGATGATGATGATGATGATGATGATGATGATG